TCCATCTAACAATTGCACCTGTGTTCCGGCAACGCTGTGTTCCGTAGGTTGGTTGGTGTGATGAGTTCCGCAACAAAAGAGTTGCTAATGACCACCTACCGATTGCTGTCAAAATTGGGTTATGTGCGGACATTGTTCGCATAGATCAAAGCCTCCGTACCCTTAGGACAGTTGTTAGTGTTTTATGCGTTGTAGTCGTTATCTTGTTGTTTCATATGTGATGTATTTAAATATATGGTTTTCTATACTTATCAATTTCGTTGACTAGGGTATTGTAACCAAACTTTTGTGTTGCTCCAAAGTGCCATGAACTTGCAGGCAATTTATGTGGACTATACTTTACAATACCACGTCATGGAAGTTAACTCCATACAAACTGTTTTGGTTTAACTGCATGTGCTTCATATCATTTATTGTTGTAGTCATTTTACATTCATAAGTACCTATGTACTTGTGTTTCTGCTTCCTACTTTCTGTTTAAATTGTAATTGTCAAATAGTGCTTGTGAGATGGCATCCACCCATACTTCACCCCGCACTCTATCAAGAACTCACGGTAAGGGTCACATCAACCCAACAAGAACCGGTACAAAAATGCACCTGGGACAGCGACAACACAAAGTTTTTTCTACAACTGGTCATAGCTGAGATGGGGGACGATAACCGGAAGCTATGCTCCTTGTCAATGACTGGCTATATAAAAATTGCAAATAAGTTCCTAGACAAATCTGACATGCTATATTCTACCAAACAAATGAAAAATAAATATGACAACTTGAAGAAAGATTGGATAGCCTAGAAGAAGCTGCAGGATGCTAGCCAAGGCTTCACAGGGATTGGGTATGACCACACATCGGGATTGTTCACAAACCCTGACCACTGGTTGGAAAAAAGGCAAGCGGTATGTACTTAAGAATTTGTAGTAGCACAATATGTTTGTGTTAGGTAGACGTAAATTTCAGTGTTTTTTCTTGTTATACATTTATTGCCTCAGATGAACCACCGATGTGCAAAGTTCAAGACAAAGCCACTAGAGCACTTGGATCTTATGGAAAGGGTGTTTGTGGATGCGGCTGCAATGGGAAAACATGCATGGACGCCATCTGAAATCCACGAAGCTGATGCAACCGGTGACAATGCTGCAACCCCTGATAGCGGCATGGGGCCTCTCAGTGATGGCACACCACTACATGATGTGCTAGATCGTGTCGGCGAGAACGTGGTGAACTGTTCGCTGTTTGACGATGCTCCACCGCATTCCACCGCAGATGGCTCAGCCAATGCCAAATGTCGCAAGTGGGCAACCCTTGGTACTGTGGCAAGTAGCATGGACAACCTTGTCGAGGTCGTTAGTAGACAAAATATGGAACTGAAAATAACACAGTACGTTGTTACAAGGAAGGGTGAAAACACTGTCGGGGACTATCTTGCCAGGCTGATGACAGTGCCTGGGTTATAGGGCAGTGGTCCGTTATTCACATTTGCTTGCACACTTATGGATTCACACGATAACCATGACCTAATTATGGACCTCTCCTTGGATTACATTGTCAATTGGCTTAAAGGGAAACGTGCATAAATGCAGTAACCTGTTGTGGTGGAGCATGGTTGTGGCGTTCATTTATTTGGACAGGACGGTGTCGTCGATATAGACTAAGAACTGGGACAGTAGCAAATGAGATTTGCAATTGCTTTTTTTTTTTTTTTTTTTTTTGGTATTTTCTGTTTAGTAATGGTTTGGTTTCACCTTTTAAATTTTTGAATCTTGTACTGTTAGTGTAATGTTGTTAGCAAAAAACTGTTACACTTGGGGTTGTACTTTCTACTTACATGTGTTTAGAATATATTTGGGTTGTTGAGTTCTATTTGCCAAGTTTCCATTTTTTTTTTCTTTATTTTATTTTATTTTATTTTTTGGCATGGGTCTTGCTGTTTTGTTTTGCAATTGCCAAGTTTCCAATTGCACTTGTTTTTTTTTTTTTTTTTTGTAGCTGTAGACACCCCATTTTTGACCGACCTTAAGACTCAGACGTCATCGATTGAGCGCTCGGCGATTGCGCATGTTGTGCTCGTTTCGAGGTTTCGGGATTCTTGGCTGAGAGCCTCACCTCCGGACCTTGGGACTCTTTGTACTTTACTCGGTCTGCGGACTAAGTCTTGTTTTCTCTTCCCGGAGGAAGGGAAAGGTCTTGTAGACCATCTCTCAGTGGTCGTAGACTACTTTTCGTGGTCGTAGGCCACTGTTCCCGTTTGGAGACTTGTTTTCGATTTTCGGAGCCGTTGGCCGCGCGCCTCGGCTCGGGACCGCTTAACATTCTCCGTTTGGTACGATTTTTGGAACACACCTTGTTTCCTCTGTCTAGAGGGACACTATGGACCGAGAGACCACTTTTGTGGCCGTACGCCACTTTTGGTGCTCAACAGCCAGTTTTCAAGGCACCCGGCCGCGCACTTTGCCCCTCGAACTCTCGTTTTGCATCCGTGTTAGTTCTTTTTTGGCATGAACCTTGTTTTCCTTGTTTGGGAGGTGGTACAAGGGTGGGAGACCGCCTTTTCTCCTTGGAAACCACTTTCTCCCCGCCAGCTGGTTTTCTTGTCAGGAAGTTGGTTTTCTTGGTCTTTGGGCCACATTTGCTGGTCTCCCACCACACCACTAGCTTGCTTTCAAAGTGGAGACCACCAAATGGAGCCACCAACCACTTTTTTGTGTGGGAGACCACCTACCCTAGTCGGCCGACCAGGGAAAGTGGTCGGCCGACCACCTTTTTTGGTTGGCCAACTCCCTCCTGTTTTGTCTGTTTGAGTGGGTGCCAGCTGGAAGGCACAGACTGTATCCTCCATACATGTGTATGGAGAATCTTGAGCCTTATTTTTAGCTTCTTGAAAAAGCTTTGGCCTTGTTTGTCTATAAGAGAGGCCCTCCCCCTCCTCGAACCAGGTTCAGAATTTCTCTAAGGCAAAACAATACATATCTCTCTATATCTCTATATTTTGGTTCATAAAGTGCATTGTTCTTGAACCTTTTACACTACACCTCATAGCCATACACTTCCACCATTGATTTGAGGTTCTTGGAGGTTGTTTTCAGAGGTTAAAGAGCTGGTTTTTGGTCCCAAAGTTTGCTGGTTTTGCTGAGCTTCAAGGGTAATCACTTTCATGCTTATTTGAGCTTTGTTGCCAACTGAAAAAAGGTTCATATTTAAGTGATTTTCATGTTTGTTTAAGGCTCTTTTGGTGTTGGGGGTTGTAGAAAATTTAATGTATAAAGAGAAATAGAGAATTGTATTATTGATTGATATTTATTGATATATTACAATGATTCATGATTCCTATATATAGAAGAGGGTGAGTGTGTAGTAGGTAAGGAGTAGGTGAAGTGGAGGTGGTAGTGGTGTAGTGGGTTAGGTTCAGACAGGGATGACCCTCTCTCTTTTGGCCTTGTTTGCTTGCATTTTTGGCTTTCCAAGGGAGCATATATTTCCACACTTCCTAGCCTTGGCTCAGGACCTTTTTAGTGACTTTTAGGACCTGCCTAGACTCTTTCTATGGCTAGTTTGGTCACCTTTTGTTCGCCTCTTGCATGTGTAGAACAATCCCTTGCATAGTCTATCAAAGTAACACCTCATTCTTGCATGTATTGGTCATGTTTCAGTGGGTTTTTGGCCATCATTTGGCATGCCATGATTCTGTTTTTGGCTGGTTTGGTAGCCTCTCATATGCTTCACATGCTTGTAGTGTAAATCATGTTCACTAGCTTATAATGCATGTTGTTTTGGCCCTCTATGCTAGCATATTTTGGCCATGCTCCAAACTGATTTTGTTCATATTTTGGGCTTCCTTAGCTCTTTTTTGAGGTCCCTTGGTCGAATGATGCTTGCTATGTATGGTTGTAGTGTAATAGCCTTGCTTAGCCTTGAGTTTTGAATCCCTTTGCATGCTTAACTTGAGGTGTTTGCATGTTTTAGCATCATTGAGCATGATATTTTAGAGTTTATTTCTTGGCCATATTCTCATGTTTGTCACTCTTTCAACATGTTTGGGAGTTGCACCATTATACCCCATTTATGAGCCTTTGCATTGAGCTTCATTCTTATGCCTTTCAAGCCACCATCTTGGCTCATTTTGCCACTGCTTTGGGCCTGCTGTAACAACCCTCATACTGTTTATTGATTTAGGACTGATTGATTACCGATAATCACCGATTACTGCTAAACGGAACTGATAACTGACTGACTGAAATTGGAAACTGAATTGACTGAGTATATGTTAGTTAATTGCATTCTATCTGTTTGATTGTCTGATTTTCTATTCATGTTTATATGTTTAAACTGCTAATTGAAGGCCTTATCGGCGGCCGAATCCGAAACCGACTAGTGTTCCATGACCCTCATAATTTATGTGATTTTATGGTATAATTATCTGAAAATCGATTAGGTATGATTAAATTAGATTAAATTAAGCTAATTAAAGAGTTGGACTTAATTACCATTTTGCCACTTAAGTGGCCCACTACTTGGATCATCTTTGATTCTCATTATGCTCACACATACACATTTCATCAGCTCATTTTGAGCACACCACCGACTAGAGAGAGGGAGGTAGGGAGTTAGAGTGAATTCACCTTGAATTCCTTGGAAACTTGAAGAATTGCTTGGTAATTGAAGTGTATTTGCATATTTGAGCTCCCTCACTCCTAATTCTACAAGACTAAGGTAGGACATCCATCTTCTTGTTGCTGTCCTTGAGTTCATTCTTGCATGATTCATGTTAATTTGTAGAGCTAAGTCATGATTTGGCTCATTAATGATGGATTGAAGATCATTTCTTGCATGCATGTTGGTATTGTTGCATTTTGAGGTTGAGAATGTGAAAGAAAAATAAAGAAAAAATAATAAAAATATATTTGAAATCAAAAAATGAAAGATGGAGGAAAGTGGTTTGGAGAAAATAAATAAAAATAAAAATAATGGAGTTGGAAATCAAACGGAGGAGAGATGAAGATTTTTTTTTTTTTTAATATAATATAATAAAAAGAGATATATATATATATATATATAATAAAGAAAGTGGGGAACAAGAGTGTAAAGAAAAGAAAAAGTATAGGTTGCATCGTGGGTCACATGGGTGAGTAAAAGAAAACAATAAAGAAATGAGTGGGTGCCCCCCATGTGCAAGGATAGTGCTGGCACTTCAATAGGTGGTACAGCCTGCTGAGCATCAGCTTTGACAGGAGCTGCCTTTGGACCTTTTTTCTAATAAATGCGTCAAACTGTTGCTGTTGGTGTTATCAAGAATGTGGAGAAGAGGAGGCTTGTCTGATGGCCTCTTGGGCTGTGTAATCATATCGAGGTTCGTGGACCTCTCAATCATGTTGTCACCCTCAAAACCAGAGATGGGGACAAAAGGAATTTTGTCAAGGTTGTAACCAACCTTCTTCAGATAGGAAGAGACTTCCTGCACAATTTCATCATACCTTGCTTTTGAGTACTTAGGAGTGGTAGCATCCATCTTGTTACAGCAGCAAATCATCTGCCTCACTCCAAGAGTAAAAGGAAGGAGAGTATGTTCACGGAAGAACTTGGGCTCCTTCTCAATCTCCTTGCCAGATCGACGATCAATCTCAGCAAACTTGACAGCAATGTGGGAGGTGTGGCAGTCAAGAACTGGAGCATACCCATTACCAATCTGACCTGGGTGATTCATAATAATAACCTGGGAGGTGAAATTTGCAGCTTCCTTGGCTGGATCATCCTTTGAGTTGGATGCAACAAAACCACGCTTGAAATCCTTCACTGCAACATTGTAGATGAAGACGACCGAGACGGTGGTGTATGGGAGGACAACAGTGAGAGGAGGGGCAGTGGTGGTGGACTCGAAGAAATTTCAAGGTATGTGTAGAAAATTCTAGCGGATTAGGTTGAGGCCCGGCGGGCGGCTAAGGTGAGGTTGCCGCCCGCCGGGGAAGTGAAAATGAAGTAGGTGGAGAGTAGGTGGTGGGTTAGGTTTAGTGGAGTAGGTTTAAGTGGGTGAAGTAGGTGGAGAGTAGGTGGTGGGTTAGGTTTAGTGGAGTAGGTGATGTGGTAGTGGTGTAGTGGGTTAGGTTTAGTGGAGTAGGTTTAAGTGGGTGAAGTAGGTGGAGAGTATGTGGATTTAGTGGGTTAGGTTTAGTGGAGAAGTGGAGGTGGTAGTGGTGTAGTGGGTTAGGTTTAGTGGAGTAGGTGAGGTGGTAGTGGTGTAGTGGGTTAGGTTTAGTGAAGTAGGTGTAGGTTTAAGTGAGTGAAGTAGGTGATAGGTTTTAACAGCATCTACCCTCTTGCATGCTCTATTTAGCCTTATTTTGAGCCATGCTATGAGACCTTTGTGTTGAGCTTTGCTTGGCCCTTTAGCCACTGAATCTAGCAGATTTTTAGTGGTTGGAATGTGGTTTTGAGGGCCAAAATCAGACAGGGATGACCCTCTCTCTTTTGGCCTTGTTTGCTTGCATTTTTGGCTTTCCAAGGGAGCATATATTTCCACACTTCCTAGCCTTGGCTCAGGACCTTTTTAGTGACTTTTAGGACCTGCCTAGACTCTTTCTATGGCTGGTTTGGTCACCTTTTGTTTGCCTCTTGCATGTGTAGAACAATCCCTTGCATAGTCTATCAAAATAACACCTCATTCTTGCATGTATTGGTCATGTTTCAGTGGGTTTTTGGCCATCATTTGGCATGCCATGATTCTTTTTTTGGCTGGTTTGGTAACCTCTCATATGCTTCACATGCTTGTAGTGTAAATCATGTTCACTAGCTTGTAATGCATGTTGTTTTGGCCCTCTATGCTAGCATATTTTGGCCATGCTCCAAACTGATTTTGTTCATATTTTGGGCTGCCTTAGCTCTGTCTTAAGGCCCCTTGGTCGAAAAATGCCAGCCATGCATACTTGTTATGTAATAGCATTGACTAGCTTTGAGTTTGAAGGTCCTTTGCATGTTTAACTTGAGCTATTTACATGTTTTGGCATTATTGGGCATGATATTTCAGAGCTTATAGGGATGCTACACTTCTATATCATGCTTAACTTGAGGTGTTTGCATGTTTTAGCATCATTGAGCATGATATTTTAGAGTTTATTTCTTGGCCATATTCTCATGTTTGTCACACTTTCAATATGTTTGGGAGTTGCACCATTATACCCCATTTATGAGCCTTTGCATTGAGCTTCATTCTTATGCCTTTCAAGCCACCATCTTGGCTCATTTTGCCACTGCTTTGGGCCTGCTTAAGGTCTGTTTGGAGTTGGTTTTTTTCATTTGAGCATAGCCTTGCATGCCTCTAGTGTAATGTGCTTCACTAGCTTCGGTACTTGACTCTTTCAACATGCATTATGTGAGTTGTTTGCATGATTCAGAGCCATTTTGTATGTCATTTCAGAGCTGGAACATGTGTCATTGTATGCCATATTTCATCCTTTCAATACTTTTGTAGAGTTGTATTTTGTGCCCTTGGGCTTAGGTCCTTGCATTGTGTATGCTAGCATGAGTTTTGGAGTCTTGTTTTCATCATGTTTGGCCACTGATTTGGATGTGGCTAAGGCCCATTCATTTTGGTTTAAGTCCATTTTTGCATTGAGTATGCCATTGTATTCCATAGCATTGAGTAAGCCACATTGTCGCATGATTGATCATTGCATTGTGCATGCCTTGTTCATCTCATTGTGTATGTTAGTTCTTAGGTGCATTGTGTATGCTAAGTACCACGTGCATTGAGTACGCCATTGTTAGTTCATAGCATTGTGTATGCTAATTGCATGTTTGCATCACTTAGTTGCATAGCATTTAGGTTGCATACTTAAAGTCGCATTGTGCATGCCATTATTTATTGCATTGTGCTCGGCATAGGAGTTAGTCCGAACACGGGAAACGAGGGACGTTTCATACTTGAAGTGATGAAAAGTGCCTCAATTCCTAGTCGCCGACACTCTTGACTACCCATGGCGGAGTTGTTGGCTTTAGGTGCTTGTGTGTGCATTCATTTCACATTGAGTCGTGCAATTCGGCTCCTCGGCCATCATGCATCAAAATGCGTGATTGGTGGCCCGAGGGTCGAGGACTACACTGCCTTGAGCTTATGCAATGATGAGGAGAGTGGTCGTGCACACATGTATTGCAAATACCTTGTTGTCTCTTTCTCTTGCCTTTGTTAAACAGAATCCAAGAGAAGAAACTGGTCGGCCAACCAGGTTTTCTAGCAGGCCGACCACCTTCTTTGGTTTCCACCACAAAAGGTGGTCGGTAGTTGGTCTCCCATACCTATAAGCTGGTCGGCAGCCTTTCCACAGTCCCTCGGGGTGGAGTTTCATCTCTCTGGAGCTTTGTGCTAATTTCTGAAATCAATTGCAAACAAAGAGAAGCCGGGGCATCGCGATGGATTTCCCGACAAGGTGACTCCAGCATGCATGCATCCTTTATCATTCAAGGCAGAGCTGAGGTAGTCTACATTCATGTAGTTTGCATGCTAGTTTAATTGCTTACTTAGTTTGTTTGTTAATTAATTAGAGTTGTGTAATAATTAGCTGTAATTTATTATTCATTTTGGTTGTGTAATAACAAGCTTAATTAGATTAGCTTAGATTAGCTAGTTGGTGTTGTATTATTTATTCGGACCCTCCGTCGAGAGGGCCAACTATTGTAATAAGTGTGCGTGTGTGTGATGCATGTCTTCCAACCCCACGTCTTTCTCCCTTTTATTTACCAGCTTAGGATGGTTAGTTTTAAGGCATGTTTCAATTAGCATCCTTATGCTAGCATGATTGTATCCATTCATCTGTCTTGCATACACAGGGCTCGGCACATCATACTAACTGCATTGTATTTCAATTCCGAGTTGAATACATGTTATCTGTAGCTTCTCACATGCCATTTTAGAATAGCCGAGCCTATTTTAGTCGCATTTTGCTTATGTTGCATTAGCCATCTTAACATGAACTAGGATCATGCATTGATTACTAACTAGTTTCTATTTTGGCTTAGAGTACTCGGTAAATGTTTATGCTTTAGCATCCTTGCATGTGTGTGAGTGACTGCCATGATAGCATGCTTGCCATGAGGTTAACTGCTTATGTGATATATCTGCCTGAATGCCTGTGGGTGAAGGTTGGATTACTTGAATTGGAACAATTCATCGATTGCGAGTTTTAAGCCCACTTGAGAGTGGAAAATCACTCTGTTTTCTAAGCCCACTTGAGAGTGGCAAATCCACGTCGTAGCCTACTTACGGGTAGCACCATCAAACCATTTTTAAATAAACAAACATGAAATGTTTTTTTCCAACTTAGGCGATACAGTCTATACTTGTATGCTGTGCATATCACATAGTAATTCTAGGTTAATAACCGGAATAAGAGCACATATGTTTTCAAAAACAAGATATCATGTTTAGTAGTGGCCGATCTTTGATCAGGCAAGCGGGGGTGCTCATTGCATAACCTTCCCCAATCGTACCCAAGTTCCCAAGCCGAGGCAACTTTGGTGATGATAGACACGTGGCCTTAGGCACGAGTCAGGGTTTCCTAAATTCCCCAAACATAAAATATTTAGGTGGCGACTCTGTATCTGGCAAAGCAGTCCATGTTTGGCACTTCTTTCTAAAAATCAATTTTTCAAAACAATTTGCCGGATTTGAACTCTTTGGTGATTTATCAATCTCGTATTGCACTTTGCGAGATCAGATTAAGAACCGTGACATTAAGTCCGAACTGTAGTGAGCCCAATAGACAAAACGAGATTTTTCCGGGACGTTCGGGGTCGTCTACAGTAGCAAGTCATTTACATATGACTGTTGATTTCAGCTTGATGTCACTAGCCTAGAGTATGGGCTTATGAAATTTTGTTTGTGCACTTGACTGGCCAAATTGCATGTGACAAGGTATAAATTTGGATGTGTATGGATGGGAAAAATGCTTGTGACTCCTGTTTTTAGGGGACTCCTACAACCCGTTTGGATCTCTAATAAAAATGGGTCACAATCATTGTTGGTATGGATGGAATCGTGTCCTATGTGTGTTTAGGGGTGTAATTTTGGCCCGCGGGCGGCCCGAAGCCCACCCGTGGCCCGAGGTGGGCCCGGCATGTTAAGGCCCGTTTAGACCTGAGCCCAAGCCCTGCCCGAGGCCTTAGGCTAGGGCCTGGGCCATTGTTTTGAAGCCCGGTCCGACCCAGCCCGCTTGGCCCGCTCAAGGCCCTACCAAAAGCCTGGCCCACCCGATACCTAGTGTTATTTTTAATGGAAAATAATAAAATTTTGGTGGAAAAAATAAAAAAAAATATTTAAAAATTGTTTAGGTCCGCCCAAGCCCGCCCAAAGCCCGAATACCCCTAGGCCCGGGCCTAGTTTTCTGGCCCGTGGGCCGCCTCGGCCCGTTTTTTTTACGGGAGCACGCAAGGCCCGACATGGGCCGTGCCCGGCCAAAATTACACCCCTATGTGTGTTAGATTGTGGTGGGGCATGTACACCTATGAGTACATTAATCACATGCACACAGTAGTTTGCAAAAAAAAAAAATATTGAGATTTGTGTGTGTGCGTGTGTGTTTTTTTTAAAGGAAAGGGAATCGGAAAAAGGAAATTTGCATTGCCAATGAACGTAGTCATGTTTGGTAAGGGACGTTTCAAAAGAACCCTAGTGAGAGTTTTATCATTACTTTCTATGTGGAATAAAGAAAATCTTTGGGTGCATTTGGTTTAATTTTAAAATTATAATTTAAGTGTTGAGTTGTAATTTAAATGTAAAATTGTGAATTAAGTTTTGAAAAGAAAAAATGTGTTTGGTTATGAGTTTTGAAAATAGTTTTGAGTTATATTTTGAGTTTTGAGTTTTTGAATTTTAAATTGTATTCTGAAAAT